TATTGTTTATTCTGACACTTCAACCTATAGCTCCTCGAATCCAATGACATTATAGCTCCAGACTATTTCATTCTATTCTATTATTATCTTATTATTATATGATCTATTATCTTAAAGAGTAGATCCGTTTGATGTTATAAGCGCTATTATTTCTCCTTTTGAATTTGCACAACACTAAATTTAGAATGACCCCCTATACTCCGAAAATTACTTAATAATTTTCCCATTTTGCTTTTTTAGGCTGCCCTTTCTATTATTTATTTGTTCTTGTAAATATATGTTTTACACTTCTTTCTAATGATTTAGAAGGTTAAGGACCATGACCACCTATGACAATACAATACTCCCCTCTGTTGGTCGTGGTCCAAAGTATAAAACATGCATCTGTGTGTGTGTGTAGATTACTGTTCCAATCCTGTTGCTCCTCCCGGATCGTCCTCAATTCATATTGTGGGCTTTGGTGCCAAAGTAGAGGCTCATTTCCTTAATTCATACTACTGTCATCCCTGAAGCAGGTGCAGTTTATCTTTCATCTGAAAAACAAACATTAGAACACAAGAAACACCCACTTTCCTCTCTTCGCATGGTGCGGCCTGTCAATCAATCCAATTGGGCAAAACATTACTGCATTGACAGACGGTGTGTGGCATCAGGGCAGAGGCTGTAGCCAAATACAGACTTAACAATATGTATGTTTCTAATTTTATACTCCCCTAAATGTGAATTACAAACCAAAGTTGTCCTCCGCCCAATGACCGCTCACTGCGGTTGGACCGAATCACTGTCCGGGCAAACAGCAGAGGGAGGGGCTCCCAGTACCTTCAGCAAGGTATTTCATCTCAGAGTACTTTCCGCAGAGTACTTTTCTCAGAGTACTCATCCCAGAGTACTCTCACTTTTACACCTGTTCAATAAAGCTTGTCATCTTTGAATCTCTAGTACTTACACCGTATGCTGTTGACAAAAAATAATTATTCCATGATCACATTAAAACATTACAGAAAACTTTTGTTATTCCATGATTCCGTTCAGCACTCCTCGTTCACTCCCCAACACACTCACAACACACTCACAACACCCCACGTTAGTATTGGTCCAGTTTGTTAAGGTCAACGTAGTGTATTGGACATGACGCACAAACATATAACATACACAAAACATATAACATACACAAACATATAACATACACAAACATATAGACAACACAAGAGGCCTGTAATTTTAACTTTGTTATATTTTTCCATGTCCAATTACAATTGTCTCATGAGCTATTTTATAGTTGCAACTTTCAGAGCCTGCAGAACATGCAAAGCTTTGAGAGATTTTTCCTAAAAGGATCCATTTCAAACTTTAGTGTTTAAACCACGTGGTCTTTACTCGGGCTTGTCACAAACTGTGTCCCCTATATTTTTAATGAGCTCTTGTTACTAAAAAAAAAACTCATGCACGTGCAATAAATGTTTTTCCCTTTTTTTTTTTTAAAGCCAGTTCGGATTCCTTAAAAATGTAAATTAGTTTCAAACTTTAATACTTCACCTTTGTTTCACGTTCATGTGGAGAAAAGACCATTGTTTTATGTGTGTGTACTTGCGCCAATCATGTCTCAGATAAACTGCCAACAGTTATATCAAAGACATAATTGTCCTAATTGTTTCTAATTTAGCTATTTGGAAGAGAAACATGTCATAAAAGATTTCAAAAAATGTCCCTACATCTTTGTTTTCAACCAATGAACAGTGTTGCGTCTATGTGTTATCAGAAATGATCCAATATCACCTTTAGCCAAAATTCAGAAATGCTTTAAATCATTTTTCAAACTTTAATTGTCTGAACAAACCATTTTGTACTAAATGCAGCGTCCATTAAAAGCTGCAGTTCTCTTTCTAGCACCAGTTTCATCTGTGCATGTGATTGTTCTTAAATGAGAAACGAGCCACGGTTCAGAGGTTGAAAACACTGCTTTAAATATCCGTATTACCAAGATCATGCAGTCAAAATCAATAATTCTAAACTTCTCCGCGTCTATAACTTTAAATAATACTAGTTTCAATAATAGAGCTCCTCTACTTTAAATATACTGCTGTTCTAATCTCCTTGTGTCTCATGCTAAAGCAAGAGTCTAATTAATTTTAACGATTGTCCTGTATTCTTTCATGCAGCTAAATGTGGTGTTATGAACGAATGACCTAAATGTGTAAATATGACTTAATATGTCTCTGTGCTTTTGTTGTCTGTATATATTTACCTTCTGTCTGTCTCATTTGCCCGGCCACGTCCTCCTCAAATGTCTGTTAATGTCTCTTTATTTTACTCATGGCGTCTTTCAATGTCTTTTGTCTCAAAGTGTCCAATGCCTTTGCCTCAATGCCTTTTTTCTTCCTCTTCAAACAATCACTTTTCTTTCTTCTTCTTCTTTTCAATCAATCTTTCTTTTTCCTTCCGATAACTTTTTCTCATAATGTCTTTTCCTTTTCAATCACTTTCTTCTTCTTTCGACAACTTTTCTCATGTCTTTCTTCTTCTTTCTTCTTCTTTCAATCTGACACACCCAAATGTGTCGTGTCCTTCTGCTCGGCTCACACACCGTTCCTCTTCCTGCACATAACTTCACCCAGTTTGTGCAAAAGTCTGTGGCCTGTACTTTGCTGCAGATGATGATGATGATGCTGCTGCTGTTGCTGCAGCCGATACTGCTGCGGATGATGATGATGCTGCTGCTGTTGCTGCAGCCGATACTGCTGGAGATGATGATGATGATGATGCTCGGTTGTGGTTTGTGGCAGGGACGATTTTGGCGATCGGCCAATGAAACAGACAGAAGTTTTCTCAGAAAAAACAGACAAACAAGAAACACAAACAAGTGTGTTAATACAATACAAAACCAATGATTAATTACGAATCTAAATAAACCTATGAAATAATTACTATTAACATTTTAAACATTAAATTCTGAAAACCAAATCTGTATTCAACTGCTATCCTAAGCTCTATTTTTCCAAAAGTATACTGTTCTTTAAGATCAGTTTAAATTTTATATCACCAAAACGTTGGGAAACATGTTTAATAACTTGTCTAGACGTTTGGAGATGGTCAAAAGAATAACACAATGCCTCTTTATAATCTAACTCAAAGTTCTGTGATCATATGACTCCATGACAGTAACATTATCGTGTGTATAAATGTAATTTTCTACAAAAAATATTTGGTATGCCTCTTTCTTAACTGGAGAGAGGGAGAGAGAGAGAGAGCAGACAGAAAGAGGGAGGGGGGGGGCTGAGTGGCCTGTATGCAAGCATTTTTCAGAGAGGGAGCCAGGAGGCAGAAGGAGGGAAGGAGGGGCTTTGTGGCTTCTCAAACAGAGGAGTACATGTACGACTGAAATACACCAAATTCATGAACATCCCCTTTAAAATTTGCTACATTTTCCTCGTTTTTTATCGTGACAATGTTTTATCAGTGGTGAGAGTTCTCTCACGTCAAACGACACTTTACATTTATTTAAATACGTCAGTAATGGAAAACATTACAATTTGCTTACATGAAGAATGCATCACTAGGTACAGCCGGATCTTTTTCGTAATACCTCTGTAACTACTGAAACATTACATCACAATACAAGAGAACTTCCATAACTGATCTGGTCATTTCTCCACATGGAAACTCGTATTTACAGCCAAGTGGCTCTCTTTTTCATCATTAATCAGATCATTATTATTCAATAGTCAAAATCGAACAGTTTTAAATACTTGGCTTTTTTGTTTAAATTAAATGTACCCTTTTTCCTGTCCCTATTTCTAATTTCACTAAACACTTGTGCCTCTTTTGCACTTTAAAACGGTGTGCCTCTTTTGCACTTCTAAAACCCTTGTGGACTTTGTTTTCCCTTTTTGTTTTTTTAGAGGGGACCCCAAAATTCCCTCAAGGTAAAACGTCAAATAAACCTGACTATTGTTTTATCGCGTCCGATAAAACGCCCATCACGGCGGGTCTGTCCACACCTGCAGTCATGTTGGGCCGAGATCTCTCTGTCTTCTATTTAAAACAATGTGCAGATTTTAGAAATGGTATCTGCTTACCTGTGTTTTGCAGAGTAGAGAGCCCCCAGACCCAACAGACCCAGTCTATCTATCTGAGCTCATCTTGCGTCTTCTTTCTGTATCAAATCACGTCAAGGGTCACCATCTGATGTCAAAAAATGATTTGACTGACGTGTTCAGAATTTGATACAGAAATAAGGCCAAGAATGCAGGAGTTAAAAATAGAACATTTAATTCTCTTTACAATTAAATATTGATACAAAAACTCTCGGAGCCCTAAATTCTCTAAAACTAACCCTATGCTGAGCCATTCTAACTGTCCCTCCAGGCCTGAAAAATGTGCAGGGGACATCCAGGCGCTCTGCGATGTTCCCTGTCTAACTATCCCTGCTCAGACTGCCTGAAAATCTCCTCCGAGCAGTTTCTATCAGAAAGTCTGATGACGTCACAGGTCCCAGACTGGTCCAGTCTGATCCAGCTTTTTCTGGTTTTGGGAGGCGCGTACTCCAGCTAGCCCATTGGACTCCGGACTCTGTCTGGTCTGGTCTTGGTCTGGTCTGACATCAATCTCCTTCTCCAAACAACTCTTATCTGGCTGGGGGAGCTCTGCATTCCTCACATGGTGCTGGCTGACTCGACTAGACCCCACTTAATATGAAATCACTGAAAATATAAACAACGTGTGCAGCATTTCTTGAGATGATGCATTAACGGTCTACCATCACAACCGGAGAAGCCCAGGAAGATTGTGAAGGCTCAATAATGTTCTCTCTTAACATTGTCTCTACATGCTCCTCAATTATCTTTTTCTTTGCCGGAGACACCCTGTATGCTCTTGTTCTGACTGGTATCTCGTCATGGGTGATGATTGCATGTTTCTCTACCGTGGTCTTTCCTAGAATACCGGCAGTAACTGTTGGCCACCTCTCGATCAGCTGCTGTAACGCTCTTGGGTAGTCTGTGTCATAGACCACTGGTGTAGCGTGCGGCATTTCCTGAAGTGGAGGTGAAGCCCACCCCAGTAAAGCAGAATTTGGCCGCACCGCATAATACAGGCTCACAGAGGATTGTACTCTTTCCCATGGGCTTGGCTGAACCGACGGCTGAAGGAATGGATAGAAGGTGTAACGTGGTCCAACCCGCAATCAATCCATAGCATCTTCTTGCAAGATTTAAAATGATCCCAGCTTCTGTGAGAAAGTCCAGTCCAATGATAACCGGAAAGGCCAGGTGGCGATCCTCCATTATGTGCATGTGAGTGCCCCATCTTTGTCCATGCCAGTCGACTGGCAGCCTGTGCTTTCCCAGCGCTGAGTGCGCGGTTCCATCAGCCATGATAAATCTTTGTTTTTCAGCCTGAAATAAAGTCTCGTTTTTGTAATGTATTTCCTTCCAAAGACTTTCGCGTATCAGTGTGAAAGTACTTCCAGTATCGACGACAGCCGCCCCTTGGACCCCACGTATGGCGATAGGCACTAGCAGTAGCTCGGGTTTGGTGTCAGTTTGTCCCGGTTGTTGGACAATCGACACGCCTGCCATGGGTTTGGGCGGAAACGTTTTCTTTTCAACTGGTCTGCGACCGACCTTCTCACTGCTGGCTTGCACTTTTTGCCAGTATTCCTTTGCTCCAGTACAGTCTTTTTCCACCATGCTTCCCACTTTCACTAACTCCGCGACCGTTGTAACTGTTCCATGGAGGCACCCCGCAAACTTGGGGTTAACATTGTTCAGAATACGTCGGACCAACTCCTCCTCTCGGATGTCCGGTTTCCACTTCAAGCACAAAGCCCGATAATCATAAGCAAAGTCTCTAAGGCACTGGTCGGGTTTTTGAACCATCGATCTCAGTTTCTCCTCCACTTCGCTCATGTAATCTGTGGGCAGAAAAGCGGACATGAAGGCATTTTTGAATGTTATCCAGTCACGGACTTGGGACTTGGCAGCTTTCCACCAGCTTAAAGCAGGACCCTTTAAGACTGTAGTCAATGTACCAATGAGTTCCGGATTGGAGAGGGGTCGGATCTCCAAAAAGTTCTCACACTGCTCTATAAAATTCAGTACATCTGCAACCTCACTGTCAGGACCAAACGTGGGGAACTCAAGCCGAACAGGTGGTTTAGAGTAGTAGGGAGACGCACCTGCCTGACTGAATGAGGTTAACTCTGGAGGCACAAGCCTAGCATCTGTAGACCCTGCCGCAGTACGACTGTTTATAGGCGTACTAGTAGGTCTCATTATTATGCTAATCTCCTTTTTCAGCCTTTCATCACGGCGCAATACACAATCAACAACAGCTTTTTCTAGCTTGGCTAACTCTGATGTGAACTGTCCCTCGAGCTTAGCCAAAGCGGCATCAACAAAATGCCTTAAACTAGTCTCTCTGTTGAGTGAACTTGTTACCGACTCTTTACACCGTCGCTCGAGTTCAGAAAACCGTCCCTTCAACACTGCTACCGCGTTAACCAATTCATTAAAGCGTTCCTGTGGAATCTGCCCTTCCTGTTCTCCCTCTGGATCAGCGGCACTGTCTAGGGAATGCAACTCTTCCCCACCAGGGTGAACATGTTCCTCCGGAGCAGGATACAATAAGTGCTGCGCAGCACTTTCCTCATCTGCATTGTCCTGGTCTAAAGCATCTTCGTTTTCCGTTAAATACAAAGAACCTAACAAAGACGATACTTCATCTGTGGTGCTGCGTCTAGTAACAAACGGTCCAGCCGTAAAATCCAAATCCTCCCCCCTAGCCTCGGTCTGAGGGACCGGCTCATCTAGCAGGTTTGAGTTTTCTGGCTCCATAATATAGAATACACACCCAGATCAAAACAACAGCATCAAAATCAGTTCCTCGTACGGGCCACCATATGTAACACTCACGCAGTATGTAAGAAATTACCAATCATATAATAATAACTGAGTTCGTGATTAAACAACGTGCTGTTCAGTAATCTGAAGTGTAATGCAAGAATCAAATAGCTAGACGGTTCCTCTTTTGCACCAAATTATATTCGGATATCACAATGATACAAAAAACAAAAATAAAAGAATCCACTATAGGTCCCCTTTAATGTCCCGACCAAACGGCACGGGCACGCTCCCAACCCGGCTGAAAAATCTGTAGTTAATCCAAAGTGCAAAGGAATCCTGGGATCTTCCGCAACCGAAAGCCTCTTGTCCCGTACGTAAAGCAACAAAAAGGAAGTTTATCTGGAGCGAGACGCGCGTCTTCGTGCCGGCACAGATTAAAACACGCACGCGAAAAAAAACAATAATGGGTAGATCTCACCGGTATAGACGACAGTTCTTGCTGGTCCACGTGTTTGGAGGAGGACAACCCTTCCAAATCCCTGGATCAGTACTTGGCAACACGTAAATTCCCACAGCAGACAGTCGCCTCTATCCCGGTGTCTGCGCCTGGAGCAGGGACACCACGGCCGCGCGCACACACCTGCCTGCCTATATCTCAATCTCCGGCCATGCGCGCTCCCCTGTAAACCCCGCCTCTAATACATATAAACCGTCCACATACGTTTGTATACCACACACACACAATCAGACCAACATTATGTGGCCGTTGCTACAGTACTAGAGAGAGAGGACTAATCAATAACTGAATAAAATGTTAGGAAATGTTTGTGGGAATTTTTCTACTTACCTAAAGGGTGTATATTAGTTGATTTTAAATGTCTCTAAATCATTTTCAGGAATGAATTATGTAAGTGTTGATTTTAATCCAATAAGACAAGACAAAAAAAGACAAATGTATCAACTTTTTATCCATACATTGTTCTCAATTAACAATACTCAATGCAAACAGTTATTCAATCTTTTATTTTGGGGACTTTTTGTGTTCTTGTAAATGCAGTATATACATATTTAATTGTTTTGTTTTTATGGATGGATGTGTTTCTGCTGCTACTGGACATCTGAATTTCTCCTACAAGGATTAATAAAATATCTATCTATCTATTGCAAGATAAATATATCACATTAAAGCTGTGGTGCCTAACTTTTCAGTCCCTTGATAAATGACAAACAAGTGAAATCTCGACTTCCTTCCCCACTCTAGACAATTATTATCAAAGCTGAAGACACTGTTTTATTTGTACCAATGCTGACATTACAACCATAATCCAGGCTGGAAACTGTGTTGGAATGGAATCTGTTTTCACCTTCAAAGAAAAACATCATCCTGACCTCGATTTCACAATTTCACACTTTTGTCGTTGTTGCTTCTTCAAAAAGCCGATCAATCAAAAGCATTTCATGTATTTACCTCATCAACAAAACACTAAAACAAATCAAACCACAGCAAGTTTTTATCACATACTTTTCTTACTCATAAGAAAGAGCCTTGTGAGTCAGTATTTGCCGCTTTAGGCTGAGAGCTGATTGGCTGAGGAAAGCTTCCAGTCCTCTCTGATTCACTTTTCTGCCTGAATAAGAAAATCTAAAGGCGTGACAGGGACCAATAATACTTGTGAAAACTAATAACGGGTTCCCAGCTTTGAATTCTACAAATAATCATGCAAATGCCAAATCTAACCATCAATTAAAGCTAACATTTGTTGTGCACCGGGATAAATTACGTCGAAAAAACAACAAAAACAAGCCAAACAGTGAGTGAAACCCCAGAATGATTTCTCTGCCTCCGTCTCAAACGCCTCACTGCCTCTCCTCTCTCCGTAACCCGATATTGGACTTGGCGGCTATTCTCCATTGTCTGTCCAAAGTGCAAGTGCAGACTCAAGGGCCTCCCACTCGGGTTAACTAGTCCCAGGACACGCGGCCATAAATCGCATTCTACCCACCACCCCCACAGCCCTATACCCGCCACAGTTGCCCTTTCCACCCTCCCCCCTCCCCGACGGGACCTTTATAATCAGCCCAGACAGTCGCGTGGCCATACCCCTCCAGGTATCTGCGACGGACAGGGGGGAAGAACGATGAGAGGAGCAGGAAGATGATGGGACAGTCGGTCGGGACACAAGAAGCGATATTAACTATTTATGAGAGACTGCGATGGCTAATGGGAATTACATCTGTTTTAATTATTGATGTCCTAACCGGCTGTCTTTATGCGCGTTTTCCCTTCGGGGAGCGAGCGTGCAGCATGATAGATGTGCGCGGCTGTTGTTGTTTATGTATGATCCACCATGAGCACACTCTAATTCTATTTGGAGGAAGGTTTGAGTTAATTTTCCACCACTGTGATTCATTGGAGTGTTTACAAGAGGCTAAAATGGTGCGTGTGATAATATAGACAGTGTCGGTGTTAGTGTTTGGATTGAATTTGGAAAGTGGTTTAAAATAATGTATGAGAACAGCAGGAGTAGAATAAACATCTAAGTATATCAACATCAGTCCATTACATTGTACGATTCCATTTAATGCATTTTTTGTTTAGTCTTTCGTGTTTTTTGCTAATTTTTTTCATGGTAATGCAACAAAAAGACAAAACAACCTAGCAAGAACAACAGTAGTACATTCCATGAAAAAAAATACAGTAAATATTCCTTACAGCCTATTAGTAAACTACTAATTTGTGGCCTTACATTCTTCCCCCATCGAAAATACAGGTTGATATCCATGTTTATTAATCAGTGCAAACATTGGAACCAGGCCATTATACAGTCAGAATGCAGGTCTTAAAAATATATCCTTGCACACACATACAAACCCCTTAAAATGCAATATTACAATACGTTCCATGTCCGTGTTATTGTCTAAGATGTATATCCCTTCCAAAAACTTGCATAGATCATTAGTAGGTAAAGATTTATTATACTTAGAAGAGGATAGCACTCTCGCTTCTCAGCAAGAAGCAGGGCCTTTCTGAGTGGAGTTTGTATTTTCTCACTGTGTCTGCGTAGGTTTCCTCCAGGTGCTCCGGTTTCCCCACCACTAAAAACATGTATAATAGATCGTACAATAGGTCCTGTACTGTTGACCTCGCTCCCATCTCTGTGTGGAGTGAGAGACAAATGCCCACAATTGTAAAGCGCTTTGTGACTCTGGTCTGTGAAAGGCGGTAGATAAATAGAGACTTATTTAGTTACTTACTAAGAGGAGAGAGGATATTCTGGGGAAGATCCAAGACAAGTCGGAGGGACTTTGTTTCTCAGCTGGCCTGGGAACGCCTCAGGATTCCCCCAGATGAGCTGAAGGAAGTGTCTGTGTACAGTATATAGGGAAGTCTGGGCATCTTTGCTTAGACTGCTGCCACCACAACCCAGCAACAGATAAAGCGGAAGAAAATGGATAAATGGATGGAACCGAGATAACCATAGCATAAGTAATTTGTTCATACTAAAATAACTAATAACTAAAATATGCTTAAATATCTTCCTTTGTCTTTTCACATCCTGTCTCTACCGTCTTCTAACAAATCCATGGAATACTTCAGCCCCATTTTGCTTGTAGCGCTCCAAAAAAAAAGTTCAAGTTAAGGTTACGGCGAGCAAAAAATACCTCTATTGGCAGATGCTGTGGAGTGGAAAAAGTGCACATTTTTTAAGCAGGAAAAATCTTTGAAAAATGATCCTGCGCACCTTCTTCGATGAGGAGCCAGTTTGAGTTTCTTGACACCCTCGTCCTGGCTTCTCGAGGCTTGTACTTTTTTCTCCGGGCGGTTCTAAGTTTGTGCATTGTTTTCTTGCTCATTCATCTTGCCGTTTGGAGGTAGTCAGAATCGCTGCCAACTGGCCCTCAGTCAGCTCCATTGTGAGGGAGGGGAGCAGCAGATGGCATTGGGAAAAGCCTGGGGTGCCTCCAGAAAACACGTCTTCTTGGCTGCGTCTCTGCGTTCGGAAGATTGTTTTCACTCAAGATCAACTCGAGGGTTGTATGTGCTGGTATTCTGAGCACGAAAGGTGAGCTCTACCTGACTCGCAGAGCTC